TTCCTTTTCCACTCTCTGAAGTTCCCATCTTCCTCAGAGAAGTTGAGAGCTGGGAGATAAATAAAGCAAGAGACACAGAGAGATGGAAGGGTGAGGCTGAAAAGATTTGGGTTGAGATTCAAACAGCCCAGGAGTCATCAATAACATTTTTAACATTTGTTAAATGTTAAAAGAAATCAACATATAGCCATATAATAGATTATACTCCCAAATCTTAGATGTGAGGCTGTTAGTCTTAGAAACACACAGAGGAATGTTGGCTAAACCTTGGGGAGTTATATTCCTGTAGATTATATTTGGAGAAGAGATACTGAAATACATAAATGATTTGGGAGATAATGGATTGCTATACGTAATTCACTGGAAAAAGTTTGCCTATATCTTAAACTTAAATCATCATTTCCAAAAGTGCATATGTTCGCCAAACCTGTTAATTTGAATATATAATCCATATTTTCTTTTTGAAAATTGTGGAAATGCTAAAAAACAGTTGTCATAAAAGTTAAATTTTCACCTCTTATCTTGAACACTAGATTTTGTGTATCCCCCAAAATTAGTCTTAAACATCATGGTTTTTCATGATCTAAATAACAGAATGAAGACTGAAATAAACTAATCATCTTGACTTTTTCAAATAGCCGCGTTTGTTTTTTATAAAACAACATGAGGTGGGATGAATTGGGAGACTGGGATTGACATATATACACTAATATGTATTAAATGGATAACTAATAAGAACCTGCTGTATAAAAAACTAAATAAAATAAAATTCAAAAATAAAAAAAAAAACAACATGAGGTCACTGACTGTAATTGTTTTTCTGTATGAAATTCTTCAGTGAGTTCAACCCGTCAGTCACGTACAGCTGTTTTGCCTGAAAATAACTCTCTTGCTAATTTTTTACATACATTCTGGCATCAAATTTCAGCATAACAAAAACACAAAGTTAACATTTATATTAGCTGATTTTTAAGGTTTGAAGTAACTGAATAGAAAAGTAAAAGAGAACAGAAAATTAAGAGGAAGATAAGTATTAATAAAAAAGAGCAGAAATTTAGATTATTGCCTTGAAACCACATGGTCAGATGTTAGACTATTTATTTATTTATTTTTAAGATTAGGGAAGATGTTTTATGGCCACTAGCTATTCATTGTGTGGATTGTCATTTAGGTGCAATTTTGCTTATTCAAGTAGCAATGTCCTGCTTTACAGTACACACACCTGAGCTCATCATAATTAGTCTCACACACACCATTCATAAAATTGTATTAGACTGCTTTTTTTTTTTTTTTTTTTTTTTTGCGGTACGCAGGCCTCTCGGTGTTGTGGCTTCTCCCGTTGCGGAGCACAGGTTCTGGACGCGTAGGCTCAGCGGCCATGGCTCACGGGCCTAGCCGCTCCGCCGCATGTGGGATCCTCCTGGACCGGGGCACGAACCCACGTCCCCTGCAACGGCAGGCGGACTCCCAACCACTGTGCCACCAGGGAAGCCCTAGACTGCTTTTTAAAAACTATTTTTCTATTAATATAACCTGCAGAGCCATCCACAGAACCCTCTGTTTAGAGGTGACCATCAGTCTGACATTTCCAGTTATCAATTCTTTGTTTTTCTTTATATTTTTATCATTATTACATGTATCCCTAATAACATAGATTAGTTTTGCCTGTGTTTTAAAATTCTTTCTAAATGGAATCATACGTCATGAACTTTTGCTTTTTGCCCAACCTTAAGTTATTAGATTCATCCATGTTACTGTGTGTCTTTATTGTCTGTTCCCTTCTAGTGCTGTGCAGTATTTCATTGTATCAATATATTACAGTCTAATTATCCATCCCATTGTTAATGGGCATTTTTATTATTTTCAGTTTAAGACATTTTTTAAATTTTTTTTTGCAGTACGCGGGCCTCTCACTGTCGTGGCGTCTCCCGTTGCGGAGCGCAGGCTCCGGACACACAGGCTCTGGACCCGCAGGCTCAGCGGCCATGGCTCACGGGCCCAGCCTCCCCACGGCATGTGGGATCCTCCCAGACCGGGGCACGAACCCGTATCCCCTGCATCAGCAGGCAGACTCTCAACCATTGCGCCACCAGGGAAGCCCATTTAAGACACTTAAAATAAATATTTCTGTGGACATTGTGGAGCACTTATCCTGGTCCATATAAACATGTGTATCTCTAGTTATGTCCCACCTAGGGGGAAGATTCTGGGTCATAGGATAATATGTAATTATTCAACTTTAATCAATAATGCTTCCCTGTTTTCCACAGTGGTATAACAATTCATACCCCCGCCAGCGGTAGGAGTTTCTGCAGCTCCATATCCTTGCCAACACTTGGAACTCTCAAACTTGACTTTTTTTTTTTTTTTTTTTTTACCAATCTGAGGGTATATTGTGTTTCTCAATTTGCCTTTTCCTTATCATCAATGAGTATTGAGTACCTTAGAAAATGTTTATTCACTGTCGGATACCTATAAATGCCTATTGAAATCTTTGGCCATTTTTCTGTTGAATTGTCTACATTTTTCTGATTGATTTGTATACATATTTTATATATTCTGAACAAGAGCCTTTTGCTGGTTATATGTCTTAGAAATATCCTGTGAGCCTTGCTTTTTTGCTATCTTAATTATATCTCCCTTTTTTGTTTTCAGTTTTGACATTACTTTTTTGTGTGTGAACATATTTTACCAACAGGCTACTGACTGGAATATTCCATCTAGAACATGAAACATTCACTCTGTCACATTTTTCAAGCACTCATTTTGTCCTCACGTACATTTTTTTATTCTGATAAAAACACACACACACATAACATGACATCGATCCTCTTAACAAATTTTGGAGTGAACGGTACCGTGTTAAATATTGAATAAGGACAATGCTGTACAGCAGATCTCTAGAACTTTTTCATCTTGCATGACTAAAACTTTAGTTTTAAAGTTTTAAACATTGAACAGCAGCTCCCTATTTCCCCATACCCCTACCCTTGGCCACCACCTTCTACTCTCGATAAGTTTGACTACACTGGATATTTCATATGTGTGTAATCGTGCAGTGTTTATCCTTCTGTGACTGGCTCATTTCACTTAGCATAACGTCCTGGAGGTTAATCCATATTGTAGCATATGACAGGATTTCCTTCACTTTTATGGTTGACTAATATTACATTGTATGTATATACCACATTTCTTTTCTTCCAGCTTTACTGAGATATTATTGATATATAACATATTTAAGGTATACAACATGATGATTTGATACATGTACATATTGCAAAACAATTACCACGATAAGGTTAGTTAACACCTCCAACCACCTACATAATTACCATTTTTTATGGTAATAATATTTTAGATCTACTCTCTTAACAACTTTCAAGTATATGATACAATACTGTTAAAGTCACCATGCTGTACATTAGATCCCCAAAACTTATTCATCTTATGGCTAGAAATTTATACCCTTTGACCAACATCTCCCCATTTCTCCCCCCACTCCCAAGCCTCTGGTAACCACCATTTTACTCTGTTTCTATAAGATCAGCATTTTTAGATGCTATGTATAAGTGAGAACATACAGTATTTGTCTTTCTCTGACTTATTTCACTTAGCATAGTGCCCTCAAGGTCCATCCATGTTGTCACAAGAGGCAAGATTTCCTTCTTTTTAGGGCTCAATATTATTCCTCTGTGTGTGTGTGTGTGTGTGTGTGTGTGTGTGTGTGTATCACATTTTCTTTATCCATTCATCCATCAGTGGACACTTAGCTTACTTCCATGTCTTGGCAATTGTAAATAATGCTACAATGAACATGGGAGTACATATATCTCAAGATACTGACTTCATTTCCTTTAGTTGTATACCCAGGAGTGGGACTATTGCATTATTTGGTAGTTCTACTTTTAATTTTTTTTGGAAGAAACTCCACTCTGTTTTCCATAGTGGCTGCACTAATTTACATTCCTACCAACAGTGCGAAATGATTCCCTTTCCTCCATATTTTGACAACAATTTTTATTTTCTATTTTTTTCATAGTGGCCACCCAAACAGGTATGACAAAATATCTCACTGGGATTTTTTTTTTTTTTTTTTTTTTTGCGGTACGCGGGCCTCTCACTGTTGTGGTCTCTCCCGCTGCGGAGCACAGGCTCCAGACGCGCAGGCCCAGCAGCCATGGCTCACAGGCCCAGCCGCTCCACGGCATGTGGGATGTTCCGGACCGGGGCACGAACCCGTGTCCCCTGCATCAGCAGGCGGACTCTCAACCACAGCGCCACCGGGGAAGCCCAGATGGCATTTTTAAAATGTCTTTTATCAAGATGGTTGGCCAAGCAAATAATTTTCCAGTTCCATCGGTTTCATCTGTTCACTTGTTTATTTTTAGGTTGGTTGGTGGGCATTTTTTCCTGTGCCATAATTCTTCTTTGTGCATGGTTCCCTGACTCTCTACAACACTTTTCCCTCCCACAGTGTCCTTTCCTGATCTAACTCTTCCTCATCCTTCAAGACAGACCAGGAATCATCTTAGGAAGTCTTATCTCACTGCATTCCTAAACAATCATAGTTGGTGTCCCCCATACACTTTATAGCAGACAGAAAAGGTATACTTAACAACCTAAGTATTGTCGGGGTGCTAGCTAATATGACTAGACACGCAGGCCAGTAAGAACAGGTGCCAGCTGTAAACAACCAGGACTGGTGTGTACTGAGTAAGTATTAGCTATGCTCGAAGCGTGTACTACAATCAGGTGGAGAACATGTGCACACTATCATAGTATACTGTTCAATAATTTGAGTAATCTGTCACATCATATGGACAGGGAGCAATCATACTCACCCTGGAATCTTACGTTGCATGAATTCTTGGTGCAAAGAAAGCCCCAATAAATATTTTTTGAATTAAAGGAAATCTGTATGGAAGGAATTGCCTCAAATTTTCATTAAATAAATCACGTCTTATTCCTTCACAGCTTTAACCTCTGGAAGCTCATAAACAATGAATTCACTTCACTCATCCTGTTGTAACACCTCTGCTGAACTTTTGAACAAATCCTGGAATCCAGAGTTTGCTTATCAAACCCTCAGCATGGTGGATACAGCCATCCTCCCTTCCATGGTTGGGATTATCTGTTCAATGGGGCTGGTTGGCAACATCCTCATTGTATTCACTATAATAAGGTAAGGACTTCTTTTTCTCTTCCGTAATTTAGGGACATGCTATACTCCTTCAATGAGTCCTTTTCCCCCTGTAGGATTTTCTTAATGAAATCAGGTTTTGGAAATATTTGCTTAAGGTAATTAAAGAAGTTCTACAGATATTTTCATCATGTATTAAGTAACATCTGAGTAGCAGACGTCAAAATGTCAGTGCTTACTGTTGAGTCAGTGAATTTTTAGAGCAGTGATTCTCATTTTTGGCTACATATTAGAATCACCACAGGGACTTCCCTTGTGGTCTAGTGGCTGAAAATCTGCCTTCAATGCAGGGGACGCGGGTTCGATCCCTGGTGGGGGAACAAAGATCCCACATGCCGCAGGGCAATTAAGTCCGTGCACCACAACTACTGAGCCCGCACACCACAACTACTGAGCCCACACAGCGCAACTAGAGAGAAGCCTGCACACCACAACAAAAGATCCCACATGCCCCTGATGCAGCCAAAAATAAACAAATATTTAAAAATTAAAAAAAAGAATCACCACAGAGCTTTTAAAAATCCTAATACAGAGTTTCACCCCAGACCAATTAACTCAGAATCTCTGGCAGTGGAGCCCAGGCAAGAACTGAAACTGCAAGGCAACCATTTTATTTTCCGGCAATAAGAGCTACCCTAAGAGGCTGACCTGGCCTGACTGGTAAAAGAGAGTCTTTTGCACTCACTTAGACGAGAGAGATACTCTACCTGATCTACTGCCAAAGATTCAGGCAGTCATACGTGGTGGGCTGCTCCCCTCAGTATGGACCACCCAGTGCGGGCCAAACTGAGAGGCACCTGCTCGCTAGTAACTCTCGCCTTTGCTTCATGTCCCCCACTTCATTCAGCTAATTTCCTGCTTCCTCTCAAACCTAGAGCTTAAGGTTTAACTTGGAGCATAAGAACAGATTACAGTCAGCCCTCAGTACCCATGGGCTCTGTTTCCATGGGTTCCACATCTGGGGGTTCAAGCAATGGTCAAAAATACGTGGCAAAAAATTCCAGAAAGCTCCAAAAAGCAAAGCTTGAATTTACCATGCCCTGGCAGCTACTTCCATAGCATTTCCATTGTATTTACAACTAATTACAGAGTATTTACATAGTATTAGGTATTATAAGTAATCTAGAGACGATTTAAAATATTAGGGAGAATGTGTATAGGTTATATGCAAACACTACACCATTTTATATAAGGAACTTGAGCATCTGTGGATGTTGGTATGGGTGAGGGGCAGCTGTCCTGAACCGATCCTTCATGGATGCTGAGGGACCATTGTACTCGTCCTCTACTGGCTTGACAAAAATGAATTTAGAGTTAGTGTACACATGCCCCATCACTACATGATACCTTTGCTATCCCGATTATTTTCACATTTAAGGTTTACTTGTTTTAATACACATAAGGTGTTAAAATAAATTTTGTCCTGGTCTCCGATCATACTTACAGCCACGATTTTAAAAGATTTTTGTCCATATTTATAAATGATAAAACACATTCTAACTTACTACCCAAAAGGTGTTTTCAGCATTATATTAACACATAACTACAACAAACTTTTGTGTAGCATATTACACTTACAGAGCACAGTTGTAAACTCATTCACTCCTCAAAATGGCAATGCTCACTTGAGGAAAGAGGCCCAGGAGAGAAAATAATTTGTCTAGCATCACACAGCTGGTAAGTAACAGTCCTAGCACTTGAACTCAGATCCCATGATTCTAAACTCCAGGCTATATCCTCCATAATAATAACATCAAACAAATCATCAAAACTAGAAAGATGGTTGGAGTTACCATGTGGATGGAAGAATCCTCACAGGACCAATTAAAAGCAGGAGCAGCCCTCGGGAGAGTGACAGGATGACACTCACTATCCCTGAGAAAGCTCATCACTGGTCACTTTCCCCAGCTGGCTTCTCAACTTTTTATTGTCATTATCTCTGTAGTTAAGTGTAGTGTATCAATGGCATTTTTTTATGACATTCATGATTGAAAATTTATTTGGTATACTGGAATTCTACTCTTAATGAATTCAGACATTCCTTACTGTGTCCTGTAAAACCATTTGTGAATATCAAGCATTTAAAATTATTTTGTAAGTGCTAGAAGCAGTTCCACTCAATATGTATTACTAAATACCTATTGCATGCCCAGAACTATTCTAAGAGTTATGTAAATACCAAAGAAATATGGCAGCATCTGACTCTAAAAAGTTCATGGTTTACTGGAGAAGACAAGATTTAAATACATTAACTCATTTGAAAAATAATACAAGATTATATTAAAAACAAGTGGGTGAAAAAAGGTGATTCAAAGAACAAGTTCCAGAAACAGAGATGAAAGTAATCAAATATTCTCAGAAAGCCTCAGGAAGCAATAATGTGAAGTAGAAAGTTAACAGTCAGAGACCTGGGAATGTTTCCAGCTCACCCTGTTTGTCTGTTGCACCTGCTCACTTCTCCTTCCATCTTTCTCTCTTGCCCCTCAGTATTTTTGCTGTCCCCTCCTAAAGATACAAGCAGTGTGCCTCATGCCTGAGAGCCTTGGTCCCACTGTTGAGAAACCAAGTCCTTAGAAGGTGTAGCCCTCCAGAAATGGTTGCATTTTTACAGACACCTTTTATATGCAAAGACTGGTCAGTGTGAAATTCAGGCCCTGTGACAGGCTGTTGAAATATCTGGAGCCAGAGAAACTTCTTGGTCCCCCTCAAGTTACACCAATAGACAATGGCCTGATTCCACCCACTCATATGGAGACAAAGCTTGAAAGAAAAAAAGAAATGTGGAATGTGAATTCTTCTAAAAGTCAATACTGAGCTATAATTCCCAGAGACAGATTCTCAACATAAAGCAAATAGTCATTAAACTGGAAAAAAAAAAAGAGAGAAAACCTGAGCCATAATACTGACAAATTTACTTGCAATGATTGTGAAAAATCTGCTACTTCTTCATACCATTACAATTTTATAGATAATAAGGGAGAAGATATATGTTAATGGAGCTTTTAAGATGAATCCTTTAATCTTTCAAAAAACATCTGAAGCAACTTAATTTTTATTTTTATTGCTAGGATGTTGATATTTTTCTTTGCAAATTACTCTTCAAAATTTATTAATCTCTCAAAAGTCATTTGAAAGTAAATTAGTTTTAATTTTTTTCAGCTTAGAATTTATCTAACAGTTATTTTAATTGCTCTCCAAAAAATGTAAGACAATTTATATTAATATTTTTATCATGCCTTGCCATGATTTTTTATTTTTTTAACATCTTTATTGGAGTATAATTGCTTTACAATGGTGTGTTCGTTTCTGCTTTATAACAAAGTGAATCAGTTATACATATACGTATGTTCCCATATCTCTTCCCTCTTGTGTCTCCCTCCCTCCCACCCTCCCTATCCCACCCCTCCAGGCGGTCACAAAGCACCGAGCTGATCTCCCTGTGCTATGCGGCTACTTCCCACTAGCTATCCATTTTACGTTTGGTAGTGTATATATGTCCATGCCACTCTCTCACTTTGTCACAGCTTACCCTTCCCCCTCCCCATATCCTCAAGTCCATTCTCTAGTAGGTCTGTGTCTTTATTCCCATCTTATCCCTAGGTTCTCCATGACCTTTTTTTTTTTTCCTTAGATTCCATATATATGTGTTAGCATAGACTATTTGTTTTTCTCTTTCTGACTTACTTCACTCTGTATGACAGACTCAAGGTCTATCCACCTCACTACAAATAACTCAATTTCGTTTCTTTTTATGGCTGAGTAATATTCCATTGTATATATGTGCCACATCTTCTTTATCCATTCATCCGATGATGGACACTTAGGTTGCTTCCATGTCCTGGCTATTGTAAATAGAGCTGCAATGAATATTTTGGTACATGACTCTTTTTGAATTATGGTTTTCTCAGGGTATATGCCCAGTAGTGGGATTGCTGGGTCGTATGGTTGTTCTATTTTTAGTTTTTTAAGGAACCTCCATACTGTTCTCCATAGTGGCTGTATCAATTCACATTCCCAACAGCAGTGCAAGAGGGTTCCCTTTTCTCCACACCCTCTCCAGCATTTATTGTTTCCAGATTTTTTAATGTTGGCCATTCTGACCAGTATGAGATGATATCTCATTGTAGTTTTGATTTGCATTTCTCTAATGATTAATGATGTTGAGCATTCTTTCATGTGTTTGTTAGCAATCTGTATATCTTCTTTGGAGAAATGTCTGTTTAGGTCTTCAGCCCATTTTTGGATTGGGTTGTTTGTTTTTTTGTTATTGAGCCGCATGAGCTGCTTGTAAATCTTGGAGATTAATCCTTTGTCAGTTGCTTCATTTGAAAATATTTTCTCCCATTCTGAAGGTTGTCTTTTGGTCTTGTTTATGGTTTCCTTTGCTGTGCAAAAGCTTTAAGTTGCATTAGGTCCCATTTGTTTATTTTTATTTCCATTTCTCTAGGAGGTGGGTCAAAAAGGATCTTGCTGTGATTTAGGTCATAGAGTGTTCTGCCTATGTTTTCCTCTGAGTCTGATAGTGTCTGGCCTTACATTTAGGTCTTTAATCCATTTTGAGTTTATTTTTGTGTATGGAGTTAGGAAGTGTTCTAATTTCATACTTTTACATGTACCTGTCAAGTTTTCCCAGCACCACTTATTGAAGAGGCTGTCTTTTCTCCATTGTATATTCTTGCCTCCTTTATCAAAGATAAGGTGACCATATGTGCGTGGGTTTATCTCTGGGCTTTCTATCCTGTTCCATTGATCTATATTTCTGTTTTTGTGCCAGTACCATATTGTCTTGATTACTGTAACTCTGTAGTATAGTCTGAAGTCAGGGAGCCTGATTCCTCCATCTCCATTTTTCGTTCTCAAGATTGCTTTGGCTATTCGGGGTCTTTTGTGTTTCCATACAAATTGTGAAATTTTTTGTTCTAGTTCTGTGAAAAATGCCAGTGGTAGTTTGCTCGGAATTGCATTGAATCTGTAGATTGCTTTGGGTAGTAGAGTCATTTTCACAATGTTCATTCTTCCAATCCAAGAACATGGTATATCTCTCCATCTATTTGTATCATCTTTAATTTCTTTCATCAGTGTCTTATAATTTTCTGCATACAGGTCTTTTGTCTCCTTAGGTAGGTTTATTCCTCGATATTTTATTCTTTTTGTTGCAGTGGTAAATGGGAGTGTTTTCTTAATTTCACTTTCAGATTTTTTATCATTAGTGTATACGAATGCCAGAGATTTCTGTGCATTAATTTTGTATCCTGCTACTTTACCAAATTCATTGATTAGCTCTAGGAGTTTTCTGGTAGCATCTTTAGGATTCTCTATGTAGAGTATCATGTCATCTGCAAACAGTGACAGCTTTACTTCTTCTTTTCCAATTTGGATTCCTTTTATTTCTTTTTCTTCTCTGATTGCTGTGGCTAAAACTTCCAAAACTATGTTGAATAATAGTGGTGAGAGTGGGCAACCTTGCCTTTTTCCTGATCTTAGTGGAAATGGTTTCAGTTTTTCACCATTGAGGATGATGTTGGCTGTGAGTTTGTCATATATGGCCTTTATTATGTTGAGGAAAGTTCCCTCTATGCCTACTTTCTGCAGGGTTTTTATCATAAATGGGTGTTGAATTTTGTCGAAAGCTTTCTCTGCATCTATTGAGATGATCGTATGGTTTTTCTCCTTCAATTTGTTAATATGGTGTATCACGTTGATTGATTTGCGTATATTGAAGAATCCTTGCATTCCTGGAATAAACCCCACTTGATCATGGTGTATGATCCTTTTAATGTGCTGTTGGATTCTGTTTGCTAGTATTTTGTTGAGGATCTTTGCATCTATGTTCATCAGTGATATTGACCTGTAGTTTTCTTTCTTTGTGACATCTCTGTCTGGTTTTGGTATCAGGGTGATGGTGGCCTCATAGAATGAGTTTGGGAGTGTTCCTCCCTCTGCTATATTTTGGAAGAGTTTGAGAAGGATAGGTGTTAGCTCTTCTCTAAATGTTTGATAGAATTCACCTGTGAAGCCATCTGGTCCTGAGCTTTTGTTTGTTGGAAGATTTTTAATCACAGTTTCAATTTCAGTGCTTGTGATTGGTCTGTTCATATTTTCTATTTCTTCTTGGTTCAGTCTCAGCAGGTTGTGCATTTCTAAGAATTTGTCCATTTCTTCCAGGTTGTCCATTTTATTGGCATAGAGTTGCTTGTAGTAATCTCTCATGATCCTTTGTATTTCTGCAGTGTCAGTTGTTACTTCTCCTTTTTCATTCCTAACTATTTATTTGAGTCTTATCCCTTTTTTTCTTGATGAGTCTGGCTATGCCATGATCTTTTATTTGTTGCCTTCTTAACATATAGATTGCTCAAACTATGAAGACTACACTAAAAATAAGGAGAACTAGATGCATTTAAAGAAGATTTAGGATCTTCTTTCCCATTTCCATTTAAGATAAATACTTGTATCAAAAGAGAATGAATAGAACAATAGTAAGATCATTAGTGACGCTGGAAAGCAAGAAATGAACTAACTTCTGACTTTGCCAAAGGAAGACTACAAAAATGTATGAAAGAATAGATTTACAGAAGGTGGAGCTTCCAGAATAAGGTGTCCTATGTGGCTTTTTTTTTTTTTTAAGAATCGATTTGTGCATTAGGAGGGTGACTATAAAGTAGTGAAGCCAGATCATTACTACTCAGTCATACTTTAAATTCACAGCAGGTCTAAAGGAAGCCAGATTTTAAAATGTAGGAGGAAAACTGGGCCAATTAAAACGTAAAATTTTCCCCTTTTGCTCTTGGGAGAGAGACTTATGAACTCAGCCCCATTACTCAACTATTGTCCATGGCCACAGTCGGTCCTGGGAAGCTCCTTCAATAAAGGCGATGATGTTTCTCTCCATCGGTCCCCCACCCCCATGTTTTGGACATATCTTTCTCCTGTCTACTGACAGACGGCTTTGAGTGGGCAGAGGCTCTCTAAAGGATGCCTTGTCTCCCTATAAACAAAACGTTCCCATTCTTTCATTCCCTGCCCTCAACTGGCTGTCAAGTCAACTAATTTACACTAAATCATGAATTACTGAAACATCTTACTTTTTAACCCCTCCCCATGGTGTCTACA